AAAACAAAACGATTCCTATATTCAGGTGATTATAGACCAGTGATAACATTATATCCCATTTCTGACAACAGATCCTCCGAACACACTGGAGCTTTAAAACCTCTTTCTATAAACCAATAATTCAGATCCTTTACTTAAAACTGTCATAATATTTTTATTTTTTTTGGGCCACTTAATAGTGGAAAAAATAAGGCTCAGTTGCCTATTCAAACATCCGACAGACGCGGAGCAACATTTAACTTGGAGTCATGTTTCTGTAAGTCCAATATTCACTCTCCTTTAAGCTCTGTTTTAAACTCCTCCAGCCCCTGTGGGTAATATCTGGCTCTGTAGCTACTAAATGCTTCTTTGAGATCACCACTAACTTTGTCCGCTTGCTGTTTGGTGCTGGACTGTACAGTGAATTTATCATTGCATTCTCATTCAAAACAGGTGTGAGTGAACCAAAACAGCAATGATTTAGATTGTAAGAACAAAGCAATTAGCTGAAAGATAATAAAATACTATGTGGAGCTACAGAGTTGGGTGAGAATTGTCTGTGGGTTCGTTATGAGCATTACACATCTTTCAATCTACTTTTAATTAAACATTATAAATGCAGCTTTAATGCCCCAGATAAGAAGATTGATAACTCTCATATTTGTCTGTTCATCAAATCTGCAACCAGCAGCTGGTTAGCTTAGCTTCGTCTAAAGCTAATAGAGGGAAACAGCCATAGACATATAATATATAATGTATATATGTCTATGGAAAAGGCTTACTTAGCCTGGCTCTGTTTGTAAATGTGCAAATAATATATACAAGGCAACAAAATCCAGCATATTATATATAAATATTATTTTTTGGGGGTCAGTTACAAAGAAATATTCTTTTGTATTGTATTTCATAATTAATTTAGGAAAGTTATAATTTAAATGATCATATGTCAGGTATTTCTGCTGTACTGAAACGTTTGAGCAGGCTGCTGTACACAGGTGTAACCTAGGAAATAAATACAGTGAGCCATGCCAAAAAAACAAATCCCACAGGTGATGGAAAATATATTCTGTTCCTGTTTCTCTCTTACACCTGATGCTATAAATAGCTATAAACAGCTTATCAGCCGAGTCTACCAGAAGCAGCCGCAAGGAGAAGCAGTCTGCTTTAGCTCTGGCAAATATTGGAAATACCACTATTAATGTTAAAGGCCAACATTTTCTGTTTGGATTTTTTTAAGATTTCATGACAATCATTTTATTCTAGCCATTGTAGACACACACACACACACACACACACACACACACACACACACATACACAACTGTATGGCCCTACAATGACAAAGAAGAGTAACTGTAGAAAAGCTGAAAAACCCAAAGGATATCCCTGTTGTCAGGCTGGGTAAACTGTAACAGATAGATAGGATATAATGACCTTGAATTAAATGTAATTGATAAATTGATACTTAAATACTTTTACATACATTTTGCTTGTGTTGGCAGAGTTTGGTTGGGTGTTTAGCTCTGCACCTCTCTTGCATTTCTCTGGGGTATTTCCAATTTCTCCATTACATTTATTTGACAACTTTAGCTAATTACTTTGCATATTTAGATTATTAATACACAGTATAATGTATTACTATGGATTAAGCTATCTGGCAGTATATAAAGTAGCTGAATGTTGCTAAAAGTAGCTGAAAGGATCATATAATTTGGACATATTTGATTGGTTGGATATTTGATTTCAATCTTTTGCTAACAGAATTTGATATTAAATTATTGCAATTGGAAATATGTTAATTATTGTTTGTGACCTAATAAGTTAATCAGATAACATTTGTTTTCTGTTAAATTAGATAGGTGTAATACAATTTCATTATTTTTTTGCAAAAAACAATTTAAATCAATTAAAACTGACAACCGTTCTATAAAGGAAAGATTTCAATATTGGACAATGTTTATACATTCTTCTTTAATATTTACCATTTACTATAAGGAAGTGGTCCGCACTCAGCAGACATGATCCTTATCTGAATCGGGATCAGCATCATTTTTGTAAAGGTTATCCTCTTCCCACAACCCCTGAATCATTTTTTACACATTTAACATATTTTCCTTTCCATATTCCATATTTTCCAAGCTAGCGTACGTCTTCATGTTGTTATCGTCACTGGATGGTCATGCAAGTGTGATGTTATTTTGGGTCGTTTTGCATAAGGCAGTGGCACAAGGATTCATTATGATACATTCAGGAACTGGGAATTTGTAAAACAAATTATCTGCAGCTATGCAAAGTCAACAACAATATATTCATTCAGCCAAAAGGTTCAGTTGCTCTTGTTTAGTGCTGCTGTTCGGTGCTTTGGCGTTACTTCAACCAGAGAAGGGTACGAATTAAAATACTAATTTGTGACGGACGATACCTTACAGAAAAAGTACTGTGGAGCAATACTTATTTATTTGTTGTAGCAGTGACTGGCTTACACATCCTGACTAAGACTTAATGCCATCAACAGAACATGAACTGGACCATTTGGGTTTTGTTTGTGGGCCTTCTGTGGATTGGTAAGTAGACATGATCTCCAAGTAAAGCCTGAATAATAGGCTTAGTGTCTCTGTTGAACTTCAAACAAGTTCTTGTATTTTACACATTATTCTAAGGAATTACAATTTGTAAACATTACCTTAGAGAACTGGAACAGTCATGAGATCTACTTTGGCTATTATAATGTGTAACACATATTGTGTTAATATGGCATTTTTGTTTAAACTTATTTGATTTGATTATTGTTTTTTAGCCCAAGGAATGAAACCCTGCAAAGAAGATGGTACTAGTAATGTGAGAAATTGTTTGCTCAATAAAAAAGGTTTTGTTGTTCCTGACAACTTCAATGGCATCATCAGCACCCATTTGCATCTGAGTGAGTCAAAATTATAATAAACATGTGAATTACAGCATTTGTTGATTTATCACAAGCTATAGAAACTGCTCTAGTTCAGATTTTTTTTGAAAATCTTGGTTTTGCTTTCAATGAGACAATTAGTTTGTTTCAGACATACCCCGACCATTAGTCTTGTAGTACCCTGGTAATGAAATTACTATTACTATGAAAGTATTATGAGTTACTACCTGACATAAAAAGACTGCGTTCTTTACATCTCAGCAGATAATTGCATAATATTTCTGCAGAAAGACCCAAAAGACCAAGGTGAGTACTACTTGCTATGCTCAAAGAATACTACTACTAATAAATAAATACACTAGCATTTCAACTAAAACAAAAATCTTCATTTTGGTTTTGAATTAACAGGAAAGTGGAGCCAAGAGTTGCCTCAAATGCAAACAAAGAATGGTACCTATCTACTGTTCATTTCAAAATGGCATACCAAGAAAAATATACAGCTGTATGTTATGAGCGGGAAGCAGTGCAACGATACACTATCTAGGCTCTCAGGTGATATTACATAACTGTATTTTACATGTTCCAATGTCTTTTTTTGAGCACCACAAAATTAAAAATGTTTCACTTTTAACTTTACTTATTATCCAGCGCACAAGCGCAAATGAGAGGAACGTTGGAAAATATTTTGTGCTTGTTTGCCTCTGTGAGTGTGTGTGTGTGTGTGTGACCAACAGGTCCTTTAACAAATGTAAAACTTTAGACTCTTTAGAATTTAAAGATAAAAGTTGATTTGTTTTTAATATAAATGTATCTTACAATCTAGATTCAACAAATAATCACTGCAATCAAAGCGGTAAGCCCATTTGTTTTACATTTCAGTCTGTAGAAATTAAATAATAAAATCAGCGCTAATCAAAATATAATTACATTTGCACTTGCAAGGTTCAGTGTGTAACATTTAGGAGGCTCTATTGGCAGAAATGGAATGTAATATTCATGGATATGTTTTCATTAGTATATAATCACCTGAATATAGGATTTGCTGTGTTTTTGTTATCTTAGAACTGTTTTTTATCTTCAAACGTGGCAGTCTGCCTTCCACGAGGCTGCCATTTTGAACCCCCATGTTTCTACAGTAGCCCACAACAGACAAACCAAACACTGGCTGTAGATAGGGCCTTTCACGTCAAATACAGACGTGAGTGGTGTTCAGTTAGTTTTGCAACTTCACCGCCAGATGCCATTAAATCCTACGCACTGGTCCTTTAAAGGACCTTTAAACTCCTTTGTTTCACCACCACCACCCAGCCAACATTGGCTCTAGATACATCTAGAGCAGGTCTACATATGTCTACAGCTAGTGTTTGGTTTGTCCGTTCTGAGCTACTGTAGAAACAGGTTGGTTTAACATGGCAGCCTTCATGGAAGGCGACCCGTTTATTTAACCCCTTACTGTTTTTATTATCCAGTGCACCAGGGCAGTTGGAAAATATGTTTGCTTGTTAGTTTGTCTCTGTGTGTGTGTGTGTGTGTGGCCCTTTAAAAATGTAAAACAACAGTTATACGATAAAAGTTGATTTGTTTTTAACATCAATGTCTCTTATAATCCAGATTCAATGAGTACCTTCAGTCAGAACGGTAAGCACATTTGTTTTACTTTTCAGTCTGTAAAAATTAAACGATAATTAAAATATAATTATTTGCACTTTTAGGAGAATCTATTGACAGAAATGGAATATAATATTCATAGTTTTTTTTTCATAATCATCCTGAATATTTAGAACTGTGTTTTTTGTTACTTATGAATGAGCATTTGATCTTAAGGACGCTTGCAGTTTGGCCCTTCTATGGATGCGCACCGATGTTGAAAACACCATGTTTCTGCAGTAGCCCAAGAAACAGGACAACCAGAACACTTGGCTTGTAGAACGGGGGCCTTTCACTTCCATTTTTGTGGAGTTTCAGAGAAAGTACACATTTTGAATGAAAACATATTTTATGTATATTCTATTCCATTCTGCAAAAGTCTTTTTTTAATGCAAGTTATTAAAATATCATGTTAAAGGTTTTAGACAACAAAGAAAGCTCTGTCTTCACCTTCTTACTACTACTCACAGATCAGCTACCCACCAATATTAATAAACTCAAA